TCATGCTTATGACCATAAGGAAAATATGACCAAAAGAGATTGCTACATGCCTATGTTTATGATGTTGAACAGTGGAGGGAGGACTTGAAACCAGTTCTAAGAGACTCTCAAGTTTTTCCACACTTTATTAATCACCAAACTACCTCTCCTAACTACTTCAGAAGTCTTTTCAGGTTACTGATACCATGAAGACCATTGTCCAGCTATCTTAAACATCATAATACCTTTCCATATCCCAACAGTTCATAGCTCATTAATAGAAAAGTCCCACAAATGTTCATAAAAAGCAAGTCCGCACATTGAGAATGATAGTTATTTAAAAACTTAAGCAAGGTAGGACTGTCCTGGGACTAAGTGCAATGGGGATGAGACACTTTGGTACTTTACCTAACCACCTAGCATCAAGGCTACCTGGCTCAGGATGGCGGCCAGGGCTTCTGTGGCTGTTTTGTACATTGATTTCATTATTTGAGTTAGTCTGAAAGATAGCTTTGATTCCTTGAAGGCTTAATTTCCTCCTGCTGCTTGCTGCAGAAGAAAACTGATAGAAAGTCTTTATAGCTTGGAACTTGCAGGGTGCAGCTCACCAAGCTGGCTCACATACAAGTAAAGAGTAAGTAAAATAAGGATAAAATGATGGTATTCTTCAAGAAACAGCTCTAGGTCCTTGAAAATGATTATTTCTGTTTGCCCGCAACTGTAAAAATGAGTTTCAGGTAATAGCTTTTCTTTTATATGGTAAATGATGAACGACCATTTAAACATTGACTCATCTACCAACCAAGATAGAAAAAAAACAAAAACAAAAACAAAAACATAAAAACTTACTGTGCTGAAAGGGAATTTGAAGACTGAAGTCACCTGATTTTTCAACTAGGTGATTACACCATGGGGATATTCATTTCTCTTTACTTCAACTCTGGAATTACATAAAATATATTTTGCCAGCCAGGAAAATCAAGCCCTTTAGCTTCTATAGATTATATTTTTTCCTTACCCTGTACATTTTTTTTCATCCAGCTTAGTATAGATCTTCTTAGACTTTGAACATTGTGACATCCAATCAAACTACCCATAAAGGCATCCAAAAAAAGTGGCAATATTCTTTTCTGAACGTTTATTTTGCCAAGAATGTAAAAGAATTCTATTCATTTGTAAGACTCAGGTCCGTCCCAGCTTGGATGGGACTAAGAGGTGCTGCCGGGGCAAAGAAGAAAGACATATAGCCCAACCAAAGAAAATGAGCTTTTGTAAAAGCATTATAATTTCAAGTTATTCATTTTTCCTTGTCAAAAATTATAAATACCCTTTTCTCAGTTTCCACTTAACTTCAACATCATTAGCCATATAATGACTTACAGTCAAACTTTTAAATGAGAGAGAAGAAAGACCATGGAAATGGGGGGAGACTAGAATGTAAACCATTTTCTTGCATCAAGAGAAAAAGGGGAATTGTGAGTCTGAGATGGTCAATAAGTCAATTTGTCTCAATCAAAAATTTTCATGAGAATTTTTAAACTCAATGTCATTCTTTCTTAAGTCCATGTGCTCTGGCATAAACATCTTCATTTTGATTGTCAGAGTTCACCAGGGCTCTTCTTCCTAGAGCAGGATGGATTCTTGGTCAAATCCATTTTCCCCCACCAGCTTATGGTCCTTAAATAGATTTACAAAGTCTGAAGCATGTGTTACAGGGAAAATAATATCAACTTTTAGTAGCTGTTGATTCTTTAATACAAATCCATG